TAGTAATGTAAGCTGTGGGGCTAAATCTTAACATTTGTACAGAGATATTTGACGCCACATGTCACTTTCTCAGATCATGCTTGGCAGCAGACTTTTTGTTTCCCTTAATAGAATTTGCATACTGAGGTTTCAAGCTGTATTTTGAACCATGTGTGCTCTTAGAAACAGAGTAGCTAATTGGGTTAACCATGCTTGGTTGTCAAGAGCAATTTTAGATATGGTCTTCATTCTAGCCAGTGTGCGATTATTTCAAGACTGCTCGGAGGGCATAAGTAGACAGCCATTCATCGGGTATACTGGGATGAAAATCTGATCTTTCATGAGAGTGCTTAATTGGACACACATGCAATACCCAAGGTGCAATGAAAAGATAAGATAGCAGTTGGAGCCTGCAAGGTGCATGAGTTCTTTCAATAATGATTGTATTGTTGCCTCTGATTTTGCAGTTACCCTCATGCATGCTTTTCTTTAGTGTCTTTATAGATCTCTGCTGCATTTTTGTGGAATACGCATCATTTAGTTCTCGGAGTGAGTATATGTGAAGTTGAACATGTTGTCTGTGAGGAATCAGGAAGAATCTGTGCTCGTATTATTAGAACTGGAAGTGAACTGTACTTGCATTTGTAACATGTCCTTTGGTCTAGTGATTGAAGTATTCTGAGAGATTCTTATTAGTACAAAATCATGTAGAAGTTCTCTTGAGCTCCATCTCTTTATCTGCTGCCATTGACATCAACCATGTAATGTCTTCAGTATTAGTATCTGCTGACTAACTCCTCTCATTCTGAACAAAATAATTGAAGGCATTTACACAAGAGTAAACCAGGAAATTAAAAGACACAAACTATGAAATGCAACAAGTTGTTCCACTAAATAAGTCACAGTGCAAAATTTATATACATATAAATATCATCAAACATATGGGAAAGATGGTCCACATATATGTATGATAGTCAATGTATCCAAAAAGATAAATACACAGTATATACTTATGTGAGTGTCCTTATGTGCCATAGGACCACATACAATGAATATGTGCAATGGGAAACTTCTTAAAATCAAAAATTTAAAAGTTTAACAGAAAAATATCAAAGTAAAACCTTACTTTTCTAGTAAACTAGATTTACAATAACTGATGTCATGTTTCTGTGCATCAAAGCATCAAGTAGAAATTTTTGAAAGTCGGTTATTAAGAAACTGTTGTCAATTGGCTGTTGTATAGATATCTTAGGAGGTGAAACATTCATGCCAGGGTGATAGAGGGAGAAGCATATAACTCATGAAAGTAATGAAACATAATCTAAAAGCCCAGAAAGTTCTAATACTCACAGAACCCTTGCCCATCTTTTTTAAAGCTTTTCTTTAATTGAAAAAATTCATGTAATAGATTTTGATCATGTTTTCCCATCCCCCAATTCTTCCTGCATCCTCCCCACCTACATACCCAACTTTATGTTCTCCCCACTCCAACAGACAGAAAAAGACAAAAACAAAACAACTAAGAAGCATGCACACACACAAGGACTCCCCACAGAAACACAAAAACAAAACTCAAACTAGCAAAAATCTAGAAGACAAAAATGGCCAAACAAAGCAAAATAAGACAAAAAATGTAAAATACCATTTAGGTCATTTTGTGTTGGTCAGATACTCCTGAGTACGGCATCTAACCTGAAGTGTGATGTATATTCCCAATGAGACTCCATTGAAGAAAACCCATTTTGCCTTTGCCTCTAGTGTGTCAATTGCAGAGAGCTTCTTATGGGTGGGAGCCTGTATTTACTTCCTCATCTGGCTTGGACCTGTAGAGGCTTTATGTGTGCAGCCACAGGCTCTGTGAGCTCAGATGTGCATCTGTCCTGTTGTGCCTGGAAGACACTGTTGCATTGGAGTCATCTATCTCTTCTAGCTATTACATTTTTTTTTGCTTCCTCTTCCACATAGACCTCTGAACCTTGAGGGTGGGGGAGAGCTCTGATGAAGACATCCCATTTAGGACTGAGTGCTCAGACTCCCTCACTTTCTTCACATTGTCTAGTTATGAGTTGTCTATGCAAGTAGAAACTTCTCTGATGAGGGCTGAGTGATGCAGTGGTCTGTGGGTATAGAGGAGTATGTCATTAGGAATCATTTTGTTGCTAAATACTAGCAGAATAATAGTATTCTAATGTTATTGAAATAACCAACCACTTCCTAGTTGTATCAAAGGCTCATTCCCTGGGGACAAATACCTGAACTGCTAAAGAACCTAAGACTATATAGGTCATGGGCCTTGGAGGAAACCTACTGATGTTATTTTACTCAAGGATCACAGCCCCCATCCAATCTTATGTAAGCTATAAACAACTACTAGCAAAAGGAAACTCTTTCCTAAGGAGCAGAGTACAAAGCGGGCAGGGAACTCTAGTGGGCTTGGAAGTGATGCAGATGTCTGTGAGTCATCCACCTGTACTCCTATCCATAGCCCCAATGAACTCATTGCTTCACCAAATGAGACTTGGGGGCACCATTTCTGTGGTCTGTCATTGGTGCCCTATTTGAGGTGAATAGATTTTTATTCATGCCCCCTCATGAAAAGGCATGCAAAGTTATCTAACTGAAGTCATCTAACCAGTCTTTAGAGTAGGGTCAGCACTATGAGCAGTTTCTATAAAATTCTTCATTTGGTTTTATTCTAGGAATAAAATACTAAACATTGATGAATTGGTCTAATCTCATAAATAATGTTAAGGATGGAAAATATTAGTAGATCAAGAAATTTTCTTGGGTTGCTTTTGCGTTGATTCTGAGTTAGTATCTATGCTTTAACATACCAACTGAGCAGCACATGGTTTATCCTTGAGTCTAATACAAATGTGCCTTTAGTGAGGTTTATGGTGGGAATAGGATAACAGTTTTGTTCAAACATAATGTGTAGAAGAAACTAAAACTAAAGCTATGTGTAATTAATTCTAAAGTATTACATATGCTACACAGTTTCCTTATTGAAGTGCATTTAAGTTTTATGATTCTCATATGGAATATTTTGCAAATCTGAAAGAAAATATCAAAAATATAGCGGAAAAATATACAGAAACAAAGTAAAAATAGGGTTAAAATATCCCTAGGTACTATATGCTGACACTTTCAACAAATTCTTTTGTCTTTTTAATTATAAAGTATTAACATTAACATCCTAGGACTAGGACGATATTTCTCAAAATTTAAGTCTTATTACAATTTTATATATGATTTTCATGAAATAATATTTTGGATATACCAAATATCTAGTTTTATTTTAAATGAAAAGACTAGTTAGCACAATAGGTTAGATAAATCTTGCTCTTCTGTTTACAACTTGATTATATCACTTGTAAGCAAAACAACACCATTAAACATCGTTTTTGTTAAATAAAATTAGGTACTATAAGTGCATTCTTTGTATTTCTTCTTGTGTAGATTGATGGTTGTTTTGTACAGAGGAAAGTACCTAAACCTAAAGCTCTCAACACTTGAGCCCCGGTGTCAGAAGAACTAGATCTGAACTGCAATTAGTTCTATTATTCATTCAAGATTGAATTTGGCAGATCAGCCCTCTTTCCTGTCCTGTTTTTCTGAGCCACAGAATAAGTCCTCTGGCCTAGTTTAATAGTTTTCACTTTTTTTTCTTCTTCAGCATCTTGCAGACAAAACCTTATGCATAATGTACACATGAATAAAAATAAATGTGAAGCCAGACTTCCTCTTATAGAAACAGGACAGCGGGAAGAGGGCAGCAGCTCTCTCTCTCTCTCTCTCTCTCTCTCTCTCTCTCTCTCTCTCTCTCTCTCTCTCT